AAAAAAACTATGGAAATTTGAAAAAAAAAACAAAAACCTCGCCAAATAAAACAGGCATTGGCATATTGCGTCAACAAAGGTTAGACTTCAGTTCAAACCAATTATACCTTCTTAATTAGAGCTATATTTAATGCTCTTTGTCAACATTTTGGATTGGAGAAGAAGCAATAATTTATAAACCAGTACATTCTTACAAACATTCAATAAAAGAGTAATAATTAAAAACTACTTTTTACGTCATGTCATTCGGTGTAAATTTTTAAAACCATGAAATTATTGTTTGATAAAAACAGGTAATTTAATGTTAAGATGTACTTTTTGCTTTGTTACTGAAATGTCGGGGATGTTACTTTAATATTCACGTACTGGAAAAGCACCGAATAATTTATTGACCCGTACAGTATCGTACAGTATTGTAATGTTAACACAACGTGATCATCTTTATAAGGTTTCTCATCGGTCTTATTTAATTGATATGTAAACAATATTTATTGTATAAATGCAAAGTGTAATGCATGTTTTCTTTATGTTAATATGATCAATCATTTACTTATGAGAGGCTGTTAAAATATGATTACAGTTTTACACCAAAAAAATTCTGTTTAAATAAGGTCCCCGATTGTTTTTTTTTTACTGTACTTGTACTGAAAAGTATTTTCATGTCATTGAGTTTGCACTTTATAATGTAAAAAAAAAATCATAATTTAACAATCACAATTTATCTAGATGTTATATTTTATTTGACAATTTTCATAATTTCCTAATCTGATTCTGTTTTGCATAATAATGCTTGCATAAAAATAGATTCTTAACAACGTTTATAGTGGTATTTTAAGGGTTGTGTATTGTTTGATTTTATTAACCTGTCTATTCCATACTGATTATATGGTCAATGCACAGAATATATTAATATTCGATAAATGTTCGGTGAATTCCGTGAAATTTAAGCAGTAAGATATGATTAAATTCATCTGGTTTCTATGCATTAGTTACACTGACCGTTATAGCGCAATAGGGTAAACTATGGGTATATAATTTCTAAATGTCCTATGTGTTGTAAGATCGAGACAGAGTATGTCCAGGTATTTTTTCTAATTTATAACTATTTTCAATATTTTTTAAGTTTGTTCTCTCTGTTTTAATAGGTTTTGCACTTTTTTGTTAATACTATCTTTTTGTATATAACATTGTTAAAGAATTAATATTCAAAATTCATTCGGATCAATAAATGTCATTTCAGTGCCGTAAAATACAATACAAAACGTGCATGACAAGTCAGTGTTTCTTAGTTGTTTCATATCTGTGTAGAAAATTCTGAAAGCGCTTGATCATTTTCATTATAATATGCTTAAAAATAAAGAAAAAATGAATCTAAAAATAAGTGACGTCTAAAAAAATGTCAAAAGAAGGGATCGAACCTCGGACCTCTCATACATAAGGTAATCACTTAACAGACTTTGCTATTGCGGATGTTACGAGAATCTACATTAAGCTAGTGGGAGTTTTCCAAACGTTAGCTATATACTCCATATTAATTCTCGTAAAATAAACGGACAAAACCGAAGTAGGATCGAATATTTAAATGAGTGCTATAATGTATTCATAATTGACAGGTCAATAAAATCAGACTATATAACTCAGATTTGCAAAGTTTGAGTGTTAGATGTGCATGCTTTTTTTGGTGGTGGGGGGTGTTGGGGTTTCTTTGCTGACAGTTTTGTTCACGACAATTTATTTGTTGCCATTTGTCTATTTCTGCAAGTTCAATTAATTCATCAATAAGTTAATATGTTTAAAATTAGTAAGTTCTCCAACACTTTTTATCTGTTAACTAAATTAAAAGCTACCAGATTATGACTGACTTATAAAGACCATAGCCAGTACTTAATACACATCTATCAGATGACCCGAGACTTTACTATAATTGGTTGTGCAATTTTAGAACTTTGATTCCCAACAAATGGACTGTTCCAAAATTATAATATAAGGTCAAGTCCATTATACAAGTTCACCAGATATTAAAATCAAAATTTTATTCAGAGTCTTAATTAAATAGGGCATTAAAGGTAAATGGTCTTAAACCAAATCATTCTGTATCTAGATACTAATGGTCTTCTAGTATTAAAGACCAAATTCATAATTATGATAATATAAGTTAATGAGGTGAGTGACTGCATGACTGTGATAATTTAAGGTTAAACATCCACCATTATTTAACCACTATCTGTGTGATATATAAGAGTGAAAATCAATTCTAACAGCTTCACACTTTTCCCCTATCAAAACAGATAGGGTATGTCATCATCAAACAGATACTAAGAGGCCATTTTAATATTATACAATATATGCACAGCATAAAAAAAGAATGTTTACACATCATAAGATGTCAGATGATGATGTCAGTGAACCAATGACATCAGGAAAATTACCTCTATGGCCTTATAATGCTCAATATAGTTCAACATATTTTTTATCAATTTTCCTGCATGTTTGAACTAGAACCATGCATTATTGTACAACAATGCCCTCAAAATTAAATAAAATTTTAGCTTCAGCCTTGTGTATGAAAATAGCTTGAAGTTTAATTTGAACCATTCTCTTGAGTCTGTTTAAGTGGAAACAATTGGTCAGCCTCATTAGAGTTAAGGACTCGAACCACACAAGTCTTGCCGAGGGGCAGATACCTTAACATTTAGTCAGGAAATTTGAAACATTTATTTGACCATTCACACAATAAAAAAATGTTTTTATTTAACTTAGATTCTGTTTTGAAGTAACTTTACTTAAGATAAAGCTGATTGTAAAGTTTTAAAATGTTAATATTTTTTTATGTTTAAGTTAATATTTTAAGTAAACATCTATTTATAGGAAATGATTAATAAAAAAAAGTTGCAAATTATCTTTGCAAAAAAAGTATATGGATCTTAAAATACTACAGATACATCCTGTTCCCATACAGTTTATCATTAATTTGTCAATTTTGAATCAATTAAGCTTTAAAAGCACTTGTGTATGATAATGATTTATATAAGTATGAAGATAACAACATTTGGACCCATGTCTTTTACAGAACTGACAGGTCTTAAATAGTCTTTTAGTTTCCTTGACCGTAACTTCAAATGATATCAAATATATATATATCGCCACTTTAATGCAGTAAGAGGTTAACTTCTAATATAATTTAACAGGAGTTAACCCATTACTGCACTAAGGTAATGATATGAAGTCTACATCAGTTATCGACCAAAAAAAATCCAGAAAATTAAGAGTTAACCAACATTTCTGGTATCCTAATTGAGTAGGAGATTTAAGAATTAACAACCAAGCTATGCTTTACATTTTTTTATGGATAATTTATCCAAGATTTAAATGTTTTTATGATATTCTTATTACCATGGTAACCATAAGCATTATGTTTTGATTTTAAATTTCCAGCAGGTAAAAAAACTTGGTCAGTTGGCAGACAGAGTAATCTCCAAAAGAATTCTTCAAGATTATTAATCTATTTAATCAGTCAAAAGCTTAAGGTTAATTTGGAATGACCACAGTTAGCAAGAAAAGGCTTAATTTCTAATCTTTCAATTAGTTTTAAGTTAAAGACCATTGATTTCCTTAATAGGGAATAAATTTAGTAATCTTTCTGAAATGCCTTACCTTATGTAATGTTTCAAATCATAATGTTTTTACCTTTGATTGTTGAACAGTGAAAATCTTTAATGATGGAAAATTCAGTCAAAGTAATACATAGTGTTAATGGTTTGATTGTGTGTCATGGATTGAGTTCATGGATAGCAGTGGTAAAAACGTCACCATTCCACAGCCCCCCACCCCAGGCATGATAAAAAAAATTCAACATTAAGATAATTATATAGAATGGTGTTTGGCGCATTGATTGGTCACTTCCCTGCCCCCCCCTCCTTATACCCACTCTTCAACCCTGTTAACTGAAGTATTTTTCATTTGAAATAATTATGTTTTAATATTTGATATATGCTTTTTTTTATTCAATTTCCTTCATTCCCTGCACAAATAAGAAATGATACTTCTATTGTGAGGGGGGCACGGGTTGGGGGGATAGTGACCAATCAAGGCACCAAACACCTGTGAGTACAATATAAGTTATAGAATTCAACATTTTAAAACATCTGCAGGTGATGCCAATGTACCTGTAGAAAAAGGCAAAATTCACATGACCTGTGAAATGAGTTTTATAATTTATGTCTTAATGTATGTTTAATTTGCCTAAGATTGAAAATCTATTTCAATTTGGTTTAACCTCTATAATTCTATTTAGTGTTTAAAATTAATTTTTTTGCCCAATAGGATTGCATTTATTCAAAGGAATTGTAACATTTTATTTTTGGTAAATCGGCTTTACTTAATCAGTCCAGTAAAATTGAAAAAAATTTCAAACACTGAAACGGTTACTGTTTACAAAATTGAATTGGTCAACTGGGTGGTTATAAGAACTTGACTTCAACCTTCTTGCCTCTTACCGCTGTGGGTGCAAATCCCAATAGGTTCTTTGGATTTTATGAAAGGAAGCTATCCATCTAGCTTACGGCTCAAGTGCCCTTCCGTGCATTATTTCAGACACAAAAGGGCACTTGAGGTCTTCATCCACAAGTTAAGTGCTTTATGACTCAATATACTGTGTTAGTGCAATATAAAATCCAAACCAAGAAATAAAAGATATAAAGATAAGGGGTTTAAACATCTTTGAAGGTTAAAATCACAGAAACTTTTATGTTTCATACAAAGACAATATTTTTCTTATGTTCATATTGTATTGTAAATTTAATCTTTCTTTAATTATTTTTTTTTTAAGTTTGGCTGTATGTCCCAGGATTAATATCAGATTAAAACTGACTGTTAAAATAGTACCATGAGTGGATTGCACGACTTAAGCGAGACTCGTAAAGTGTGCACGAGTACCTTAAGTTTTAAAATTGTACTCTATTCAGTATAGGTGAAAATAATTGGTATAAAATTGATAGGCGGTTGACTTGAGCTAACAGTTTGTCTAGTATCTACAGTCGACTAAAGATAAATGTTTACACGTCTACAGCTCTTTCTTAAATCCTTGTTGCGGTTAATTGTTCAAACATAAAATATATCAGGACGTAAATTAAATAAACCTGTATTTTAAAATGGAAATACACTCAAAATAGCATGTTCATTTTAAAATGCATTTAAATTTAAAGCTTTGATGGTTTAAACATTGACGTAACAGCGAAACATTTCGTAAAATGTAAACTGGTATTAAAGTAGAGTATTTTATAAAGGTGTCTTGAAAACTGTGGTAACATTGAAGGAAGTGCTGTGGTTTGTTTTTTTTTAAAGAAAAATTAATTATTTGAGCGAAAGGAAATTTTAAAAAAGCAACAACATGAATAAAACAATGGAGCATGGGAGTTATCAGGATTTGGCTGAATGCTGGAAAATTCAAATGTTCTTGGAGTCAACGGCCCAGGTACAAATTATACTTTAAAATATATATTTTTTTTTAAATACCTTTTAAGGAAAGTTAAGCAAACTTATGCCTATCAGTTTGTTGCATAAAACATATGGAAAATATTTAGAGAGTTGAAATTTAGAATAATAATTTTTTTTAATGCTTACTTTAAGAAAACAAAACTTTTAAGTATCAAAGGATTGGAAAAAGAAACCTCGACTATCTTACTCCTGAATATTTAGGTCTTTCACAATACACACCACCGACTAAAACATGCATTTTGAATAATATATTTTGTTAAAAATGAATTAGATTTAGTAATAGTAAAAGTATGTTGAATCCCTTACACCTGGGGTTAGCCAAAATCGTCTGTTTTGGTGCCTTATATGACCTACACCTATATTGGTGCATTGAAAAACCAAACAAACAAAAGCAATGAACTATGTAAGCAAAGTTTTTAATGCCTATGTTATAAGTTTGTAGACTCATGTGATAGTATTATCATTTTTCTGATTGAGACACAAAATTGACAAGTTTATAATAATTTTACAATATTTTACAGCATTCTAAAAACCTAAGGTGAACATTTGAAGAAATTCTATAATTTCCTAGAACAATTATTTGGTTGTATATAAACTTTAATTATTTTGAAATATCATTTGTGTGACTGTTAGGTTTGTTTACCCTTGGGAAGGGTACTGCACCAAAATAGTTACCATATGGGTCATTGGCATCCGCGCCAAAGCATGACGCCCTTTATGGAATGAGAAAGGGCAGTTGCAACTTCTTGGGCCTTTGAAAATTGTTGGTCATAATTTTGTTTCTGGAAAGATATATTTTAAGGGAGCTGCATGGTATGATTTTAACCAACCAATCAAAATTGTACGAATATAATTGATTGTAAGAATATTATCACACTTAAACATATATGATGTTATCACATTGTAACATATTCTGTTATCAGGCCATGCTTTTAAGTTTGATATGAGCGATATATATTTATGTGCAAGATGATAAATAATATGACATGATATTATAATATCATAAAATGCTATTGTAACTGCAGTTTATATCAAAATAAAACCCTGACAGGTTCACTTCTTCATTTTGTTCTTACTTTGCATTAAATGTAGGTTGACGGATAGTTTATATGTTTAGTAAAGATTGACGAAATTTTAGCCATTAAAAAGACAATTAAATGTAAATTTGAGAAATTTTAAGATTAAAGAGTTATGATGTTTATAGTTTGTATCAAAGAAAACACCATTTTATGTTAAATTCATTGTTACACTTAAGGCCATAGTAAAGATGATTATAATAGAAATGAGCGGTGTCATGACAAAACCGACATAGTGGGTTTGCAACCTGAGCATGGATCCAGACCAGCCTGTGCATCAGCGCAGTCTGATAAGGATCCATGCTGTTCGCTATCAGTTTCTGTACTTGTTATAGGGTTTGTAAGCGAACAGCATGGATCCTGATCAGACTGCACGGATGCGCAGGCTGGTCTGGATCCATGCTGGTCGCAAATGCACTATGTTGGTTTTGTCGTGACACGGCTCAATTATAACTACTAAAATTTCTGACATTTTAAACTAATTATACAATGTTTGAGACCGACTGGTTCTTGAGTTTCATCAATATATTATAAATTAACTTCAGACTTTGGTTAAACTCTAAGAAATTATCTTATAACCATAGAAGAATATTTAGTTTATATCCTAGGAAACACTCTTGAGTTTGTTCCTGGAACCAACCAGCTATGTAAGCAATATGAGAGTAAGTTTCTTGCTCAATTGGCTCAAGACATTAATGTTCATCATTTTGCTGTAGATTTATTCCAAAAACTAAATAAAACTTATTGCAGTGGAAAGAAAGAAAACATATTCCTTTTATAGAGTAGGATATGACTCAGAGATGTGCACTTTAAAAAAAAACAGATTTACCATCATAAAATCAGTTTTATGATGTGTTTAATTTATTCATTTCTTTATCAGTTTAGTGTCCTGTTGACTAGAAACGCATTTAAAGTTTGAATGTTTTATAGATGATGAAACACAGTTCACAATATTTTGAAATATTATAAATTAATAGTCCCAGCTTTCAGTGATCTATCACTAAACATGAGTGTAACCAAGGAAATTTACAAAACTACTTGTTGAATGAAGTTTATGATCCGTTTATTGTGCATCATGATCTATGTGGTTAAATATGGAAGACCACATAATTGTTCATTAAAGACAACTCGTTTGGCTTCAGCTGATTAATTGTGGGTTATGTATATGTTGATTAATACAATTATCTCTTTTACTCACTTTGTATGTCATTGTAATCTAATTTTTTTTAGGATTTAAAAAAAAAATTTTATCTTTTTTTCTTTTTACAATTTTCGAAACATAGATGTGGGGCATCTATTTAATTTCTTTTTTATTTATTATGAATTTATGAATCTACAGCTAGATTATTATAATGCTGATTATAAAGAGCTACATTTTAATGAATTGCATCATTTTTTTTCATTTGCTTGAAAAGGATTTAATGACTTGAATCATATAAATTCAAATTAATTTATCAGACATTAAACTTCTACATTTGTATAATTGATTTGCTCTTCTTTTAATTTAAAACATAACATTTTATAATGTCAAGTATTTCTACCCATGATGCAGCCAGTAAAGACCAAGATAAGCATATTTGCTAGTTTTGAAATTAAAAAAAAAATCCCTAAAAATTATGAATAGTTTTGTCCAGATTGTCCACTTAACAGTGAAGTTGAAGAACCTTGAAATTTGTATACTTGACTTGAAGAACCTTGAAATTTGACTTTTGCGACAAAATTTAATTTAAATATTGTGTGCCTAACTGTTAAAAATCATTTTTTTGTCTTGAAAATTTCAAGCATACATTGAATATATTAAGCTTTTCCAAATATTTTCATTTGATTATGTGCGTTTGAGTGTCGTCTTATGTGGGGTGAAAATTAAGCTCACTAATCAGTCATCCTTGCTATTGGCCAGTTATCGGCCAGTCAGGCAAATAAATCTGTATTGTTGGAGGCTCTCCGTACTTCAAGGTTGTTTTTCGGCTACTTTTAATTTAAGTCTGTTTACTACAGCTACCTACTTGAACTCACATTTGACCTCTTTACAATATTGTCATTATGTCTTTATGAGCCACACCATTTTATAAATACATTAAGTATACCTATGTCCATTATTTGGTGTCACTTTCCTACATTATGTCCAAAAACTGTTATACTTTTTTGTCATATAACTTTATATGTTGTCATTTTGTTGCACTTATATAAAACTTCAGATTTTCATCAGGAACAGTCATATTAGCAGTCTGCTGAAGAATTTGTTACTTTCTTAATAGCAGCATGTAATATATAACAATTTAGGCAATTTATTATCTAAATTCAGGCAATTTATTACCTATATTAAGGTAAATTATTGCCTGAATTCAGGTACTTTATTACTTTAGTTAAGGCAATTAATTACCTAAATTAAGGCAATTAATTTATTACCTAAATTATGTCAATTTATTACATAAATTAAGGCAATATATTACTTTTAGTCCATTTATTACCAAAATTAAAGCAATTTATTACCTAAATTAAGACCATTTATTACCTAAGTTAAAGCAATTTATGGCCTAAATTTAGGCAATTTATAACCTAAGTAATGGCATTTGTGACCTAAATTAAGGCAATTTATCTCCTAAATTAGGGCAATTGTTACCTAAATTAAGGCAATTTATTACCTAAATATAGGCAATTTATTATCTAAATTAAGTCAGTTTATTACCTAAATTAAGTTAATTTGTGAATTAAATATAAGAAATTTGTAACCTAAGTATAAGCAATTTGTGACCTAAGTAAAGGCAAGTTATTACCTAAATTAAGAGAATAATTACCTAATTTAAGACTTGCTTGTTATAAGACTGCTGATGGCAAGAGATTCCTTCCATATGCGACTAATCCTTGCGACCTGATCATGGCCTACTCTGTTTGTTATTCAGTCAGTACATATATCTTGGAAATTTCCCCTGAAATATTGAGTTTTGTCCAAATTGAAAAGTAGACAAATACATGTAAGTCTGTGTGGTTAGAGTTACTATATTACATAACACAAGTTTTCTGGTTTTTAGTGCAAGTCTAGGTATATTTTTTTGCAAAACTAGATTATTAGTACATGTAGATACACTGTATATGTTTTAACAAATCTAGACATATTTTTTGCGGCCTTAGAAGCTTACGGACTGGAGAAGAATTATGTAATAAAAAATAATGTAATAAATGAAGGAGTGGGCGTGAAACAGTTTTGCATCATGTTTTGCACAACAGTTTGACAAGTTTAATGACATTTACATTATATAATTGCAGAAACAAAATCTAACTTGAAACGAAATTACATGATGTTTTGTTATGTTGTACACGGCAGTTATTTGCGGGCAGCCGAGAAACATTGACAATTAAAACGGATAAGACATGACATTCTGTTGCATTGACAAAAAACATGTTTCACATGTTTACAAGATCAGGATATGTTTTTTGCTTCAATGCATGTCCCGAAACATTGCAAGTTAGACAAACTTTACATTCTGTAGTCTTTTGTTATCTGCTGCAAAAGAAGTGTTGTACATTTTTTTTATTTCATTGGATAAACTTTATTATTTAAAAACAAGATAAGCCTTCTGTGCCATGTTTCTTTAATCTTTATATCTTTTTTTACATTCTTTGATACATAGAAATGTTAATTGTGAAGAATCCTTCAATTACTAAGAAATACTCAATTCTTCAATGAATTGATTTGATACTGGGTTTATGAACGAGTTTCACTGGATTTTTACCAAATTTTGCTACAAGCATGCTGTCAGTTATTGCATTTGATGGACTAACCCACAATTCATCTAGTAAGTTTAAATGCATCCTATATATACAAGTATATATGTTGCTTTTATATTTTCTATGTATATGAAATATCGTAAGTTAATTTCATGGTTAACCCCTTGTAAGC